GAAATGGGCCAAGACTTTTCATCTGAAGCTCTCGAAACTGCTTGGACATGAAGCAAGTAGCCTTTGGCGAACAATGAAACCATCGTGTTTGCTTTTGGACAGCCTTACTGAAGACGCACTGAGGTATTTCCCCCACATCAATTTCAAAAAAGGTTAGCTAGTAAAAAACTGGCCCTATTCGTCTTTTTCTTTGTGTGCCCCAGAACCCGTATGTTTTGGAATGCAGAAAAATAATTCTCTACATCTCCTAAATTGCAGTGGTGGGCATCTCCCTTGCCCTGGATGTGGGGTGATGACTGAGGTCTAATGCAGGGCTGTTGGAGCACTGGATGTAGCTCCTTGGGGCTGAACCTGGCATAGCAATTCATGGAGTTGGGTTGTTTTTAAAAAAGGTCAAGGGGAGGCTGTGCCGCAGTGCTGAAAGTTTTCAAAGCAGGAGCTCTGTGAAGACAGTACCACTTCCTTCCTCAGACCCTTCTTAACTCTTGGTTTTCCCGTGGGCTGCAGTACTACGGGTATCTGTTAAGAGGTTAGAAGCATGCATAAAAATGAGCGCGGCTTTTCAATTGTGTCTCTGATGTTTTAAAGCATGGTGAAGGTAGCCAGAGACCCAGCTACTGACTATTTCAGTGCTTTCAAATTTTGCTAAATCTAGCTAAATTGGCTTGTTGGCGAAATGAAATATAGAATTGAGATCAGCCTTTTGTTTTGATGCTTAAACTTTCAACATTTTGTAAATATTTTCCTCAGAATACAGTTTTTCCTCTTTAGAGAGAAGACGAAGATGACATGCAGAGAGTTGCACACAGACCCTCTGTTCTGCATGTGTTCTCTCCGAGGAGAAAAGTTGTCTTTTTGAGAGTCTGAAGTTTCAAGTCCCAGCTGTTGAAAACTGATGCCTCCCTGCTGTTCCTCCAGCCTCCCATGAGGGGCTGAGTCCCATCACAGGTGACAGCTGACCCACTTTCCCAGACCTTGTCAGAGGACCTGGCTCCTCTCTGTCCCCCACCCCCCAGCTGCTGAAGCTCTTAGACCTGGTGTTTTATGGCTTTGGTTTAACTAATTAGTTTTGGTGTAATGATTGGGATAAGCCCCGGCAAAATTTGAACACACACAGTAGCCAGTAGCGGTATTTTAAAGGTCCATGCTGAAGTGGAGACGTGGGTATTGAGTACATCCTTAGAATTGATGCCATAGTCCCTTCAATGACACAACAAGCTTTTGTTTTGTATGCAATGTCCTGCATTTTAGTAAAACATTGTAATCCATAACTTCCATTCCTTAGATGGCGTGATTTCCCTACCTTCTTGGTAACGTTTCAGTAGAGTAAATCTATTGAGGTGCAAATTTTATGACCTAAATAATTGGTGATTCTGTTCCTGGAGTATTTTAAAGGAGCTAGGTATCTGAGTAAAACCTCTTCCAAGGTGGAGGCTGTCGTCTGTATCCACTGGCCTGGAGATTGCTTCCAATGTGTTTCCCCTAAGGATCACATGCCCTCACCATGCAAGATAGGTACTGGACATGATGCTCTGTTTCTTTCTGCTTTGGCTGTGGCCAGAACGTTTATGGCATGCCTGGAGGTTCTTGGTCTGTGCTCCTTGGCCCTGCCCTGTGATGACTCAGCCCTCACTGCCTGATGCCATGAGTCAGAACTGCAGCCTTAGGGGAGCTCAGCACCTCCCCTTGCTGAGCCCATGATCGGGTCTGAATGTAGATGGAAGTTTCTGTCCTGCCTGGGTCCCACAGCTGTTCAGCCCCTCAGAAACACACAGAGGCTTATATTAATTATAAGCCGTTTGACTTATTACTAACTAGCTCCTACAACTTATCTATGTTTACCCTTGTGGCTTGGTACCTTTTCTCGATGAGGCATTCTCATCTTGCTTCCCCTGCATCTGACTTGTGACTGCATCTCTGCCTTTCCTCTTCCCAGAATTCTCTTAGTCTGGTTGCCCAACCTCTACTTCCTGGCTCCTGGCCAATCAGCGTTTTATTAAACCAGTAAGAGTGACAAATCTTGGCAGGGTACAAGAGTACCATCCCACAGCATCTGACCAGCATGGAGAACTATTTCCCTGACAGGGAAGGCTGGCACCTGGTTTTCTGTGGAGTTTTGTTTCTGGAGCTTTAGTAAAATGGTTTGAATGACGTGATGGAATGGGAAAAATCTTTGCTTGTTTAGAAGTAAGAAAGAATAACTGCGCACAACGAGGTAGTTTTGCACTTTGAACTGTTGTGCTCTGGTCATCAACTAATCATATTAGAAGCAAATCTATAAGGGGCGGGGCCAGTATGATTGGTTGACCTATAATGGAAGGGGCCTGAGGAGGCCCTCATTCTTCACTCTTGTGACTTTATGTAAGGCAGTAAAATATAAGACTACCTTGAAAGAATTCTTTATGTCAAATTAACATTGTGTGGATCTTGAATTCTGTTTTACCTGAAGAAACATTTGTGAAAACGGTGCCTAATGGATGATTACAGACGATTTGTGAGACACGGAGTGAGTATGACTAGTCTTAGGACCCTAGTCTGCTAGTAGTGTTTGAGGTTTGTATACATGGTTCCTTTTCTTCATTTTCTTTCTTTTTGTGATTAAGAATAACTTGCTGCTTTACGAAGTTGCTGAAATACCATGTTGTAGCAAGGTTCAACCTACTGATGAATTGGCATGACGTTTTAATACACATATTTTAAATGATGGTTGATTACTATTTGTTTAAAAGCTACTGGATTAAAAACATACCTTCATACCCTATTCACTTTGAAAAACCAACCCACCCACCCTAGCTCTCCAGGTCCCAATCTCTAGTGATGACTAATCATGTAGAAGGTTTGGATATAAAAGTTCTAGGGGACAAAAATGTATTTGCCAGTTCCTTGACTGAAATGTGCAGAATGTTTCTGGGCCTTTTAGCTACAGGAACTATGACGTTGGGAATGATGGTAACCATAGCAAATGCACCTCAGAAAATCAGTGGAAAGAGAAAGGTGTGAGTGGGGAGGGAGGAGACTGTGTGGTCACAGCCTTGTCATTCGTGTAGCTGGGATTGCAGTTACTGTCTATATTACATTTTTGTTGGTATCTAATTTATCTTATGTTAAATGGCTATTAGAACAAATTTAATTGCTACTGAGCAACAACAGCCTAAGAGGAGTCCAGAAGTAATGTGAATATATTTTGAAGTTTTAACGTCCCTCGCACCAAAACTTATCAGTGAGCATGCCCAGAAATACCAAACAGCATTTCCCGAAATTTGCCTTCATACCTCCCGACATCAGACTGTCAGGGACAGCCGAAGTCTGTTTGCCAGATCGCTTTGCAGAGACATGGCCTGTCTTTGCTTTTGACCATGCCTAGTGACTACACTTCACTCCACCAATGCTGACGAATTGCGGAGTTTCTTTGTACTTATTGGAATACATACAGTGTTTTCTAGGGACTGAGAAAATTGTGAACCAGATAGTTGTCTCAACTGCTATCTGTCACGTTACTTAAAGCAAATATTTTTCTTTCCCTGAAAGCATTGATTTTTCTGCATTTCAAAATCCTCTGTCTGTTAATTTCCTCCTATTATACCCAGCTTAACTCCTTCTCCTATTGCAAGCGTCTTGTAATTCTGGTTTATGTGGTGTGAATTTATATTATGAAAATCAAAAATTTGAAAAACTATCCTTTTGAAATTTGGGAGTTCTAAACATTTTGTTTTGAATAAATTGATAATGCTAAACGTTTGTGATAAACCTGGGTGCTGTAGTTACCATCTTATACTCAGGAATACATGCTCTGAGGAGGCCATGGCTTCTGCCCATTTTTGTCACTAATGTTAATTTCAGTTCCTTCAGTAGTGACTTTATGTCTGGCGGAAGCTCAGTTAATACACAGGAGAGAAAGACTGCGTGAATGTTATTCCTGGGATGGTTTTACACTTGAATTCTAGAAACTGAGAATTAGAAAGGGCTTTGTTCATTTTCTCGCCTAGGTTTTCCCTTTCTCTTTGGAGGTAGTGGTGTTGGTGGGAACGATAGTCCCAGCTCTTCAAAGAGAAAAGTACACCCGGTGCCTTTTACTTCTTCAGCTGCCTCTGAGAGAATTGCTCATCCCCACTTCTTCTTGGAGTGAGCTTCTCCTGCTCTGAGCTTCCCTTGGCTCTCCCCTCTCCAGCTTGGCTTCTGTTCACCCAGCTTAGTGCTGTTTCCTGACCGCACAGAGCTAGCCCTTTTTATAGTAAAGAGTGCGTGGTGACGTCACCGGCTCAGCTGGTTTCAATCAGCCTGCTCAGTGGAAGCCTGCGAATGACTCTGCAAGTTATCCTTTGCCCAGCCAGAAGCGCTCTGACCCCAAATAATGTGTAATTTACGGCGTTAACTCTTTAGCGGCCAATGCATTTCTTCACTCCAGGGAATGTTTGGAAATGGAGGTGCCCCTAGTTAGCAGCATCAGCAGGTGTCTGCCGCTGGCCCCCTGCCTGTCCCTGCCCTGCTGCTGCATTTCCACGGCTGTCTGTCACATCTGCTTTCTAAAGCCCCATCCCAGAAGCTTAGTTAAGCTACCTGCAGCTCAGCTCATCTCCTTCTTGGAACTTCTTCCTTGTTCTCCCTTTCTTCACCATCTTCCTTCCTCCCTCCCTCCCTCCCTCCCTCCCCTCCCTCCCTCCCTCCCTTCTTCTAAAATAAAATTGAATTAGGTTTTTTTTTTAAAAAAAATGCCCGAACATTGTTCTCTTCCTTTTTAACTTTCCCCTACTAAACTTGAATTCTGAGTCTTATCTATTAATCTTGGATTCCACAGCATTTGTGTTTTGATGCTAAAATGCTAAATCTGTCTTAGTGAGAATGTGATTGGTTATGATTCACTTCCAGGAACACTCTGCTCTCCCATATGTATGTAGATCTGAGACTTGTAAGATCTGTTGATTACATATTTCGTTTGACTTTATGTCTTGGGAGCATATTTTAGATGGGAAGAAGACTTCATTGGGAATCTTTAGTTTTTATAAGTTGTCTCTGCTATGTGTGGAAACATTGCAGCCCGGAGTAGACTGCGCGTGAAAACTCTGCGCTGTGGGATCCATGGACACCAGGCTCTGAAGGCTCTGACAAGTAGGTTGTTCACAGGGGATGTCTAAGGGGATTTGTAAATGGTGGGGGATGGGTAGAAGGCTATAAGGTGCTTATGACCAGGATGACTAGTTTATCTGCAGATGGAATATGACAGGCCTAAATGGTCCTGCCCATGTGCATCCAACCTGGGACATTGCTAACTCCCATTAGAATTATGCTAGGTCCCCATTAGTTTCATGGATTTTTTGCTTGCTTGCCTATTTATACACACACACACCACACACACACACACACACACACACACACACACACACACACATATATATATATTTACTTAGTTATTTATAGTCCATGTTGAGAACACAAGGAAGTACTGTCCCTCTTGGATGGTACTTTTGGTCTACCTGTCGGTTACCACAGTTCCTATGTGAGGGTCTCAGGAAACAGGTCTGTCCCCCCACTTTTTGGTGGGTGATATGCTAAACCACAGTGATGGGCAGTGCGACCCACATTCTGCGGGGTAGAGAGAGCACAATGCAGACCGGAGACTAGTAGTAGTCCGACACGGCAGACACCTGCCGAAAACGGCTTTCTGGTTAAATGTAGTTTTTATAGCTGTAAATATTTACGTGGATCCTATGGCAGTTCGGTCCATGTATACAATATTCAGAGATCAAATTGGGGAAATTGCAAAATGATCTTTAAATAACACAAATTAAAATGTTTTTAATTTAAATTTGTCACATTAAAAGCTTATGAGTTTGAAAATTTATTTAATATTACATGAATGCATTAAATGTATTTCCCAAACATGAAGACTCTTACTTATTATATATTTGCTGCTATAATTAAGAAGTGAATTGCCCCCTATATAAAATAAAGGGACTTCTACATGTTACTAGTTCAATATTGGAACTTGGAGATTAAAACCTGGAGTTACACAGGGTTAAGAATAGTCAAGATGATCTGGGAAGATTGGGAGGACCCCCTGCCAGGTGATACTGCAGTCACCTTCTCAGGGCTGGGGTTCATTGCTTTGGCGTTCACTGGAATTTGTGGTTAAGAAGAATGAAAACTGTGTGTCACTGATTGACACAGACAGAATTCCGAACATCCTTACAGCCTGCTGAGTATTGATGGGAGCCCCTGCTCAGAGTCACCCTGGCGACTTCCGCATGGCAAGATTTGGGCGAATCTTGTTAATTTGATTTGGTAGAGAGTTTTCACGAGAACACGATGAGACCACCGAGCTCTCATTTACCATTCACGTCATTACAGGTGAGCGGGCTTGATATCCAAGGCTTTCTACATCTTCCCTATTAAATACTAGTCACCCCCACCCCATTTCCAAGCCCTTCACTTCCCTGCTCTCTCCTGTCTTCCTCCTCCTTTCTTTGTGTGGGATGTGTGTCTTCAGATACACACATATCAAGGTGCCCATGTGGCAGTCAGAGAAAAACCTCAGGCCCTACCCTTGCCCTCCACCTTGTAAGATCCAGGGTTTCTTTGTTGTTTGCCACTTACGTCGTGTGACTTAGGACCAGCCAGAGGGCCTGCCAGCTTCTGAAGCTTTCTCCTGTCTCAGCCTCGTCTCTCCCTACAGGAACCCAGCAATTAGAGATTGATGCCAGTGTGCCCAGTTGTTTTGTGGATTCTGGGATTTAATTGGGGTTCGTATTCTTGTGCCCCCACGTGTTCTACTCACTGACCTTTCTCCAGAACCCTTCCTCGAGCAGGAATTGAATGCCTGTGTGATCAAAATTGCACCCCACTGTACCCTAGATGCTAGAAGGCCCCCTGAGGAGAAAAGAACCTCCAGAAACTTTTACATCCTCAGTTACTTAAATATCCACAGCTAAGTGCAAATGAACTAGAAAGCCGTTTCACAGAGAATCTCTTTAACAAATGAAGCTAGCTTTGTCAGTGAGAAAAAAAGAAACAAAAGGACCCCTTTGCTTAAAATTTGCCAAAACGAGTTAAAAACTTAGAGACTTGCAAAAACAAACAAACAAAAAAATAAAATAAAACAAAACAAAAAAACCCACGCAGGAATTACACAGCAAGAAACGTCATTGCAGCTTCATTTGTAATTGTCTGCCTTTTGAAGTGGCCCAGACAGTGCATTTATACAAACACATACTATTCAGAGGGAAACCTAATGAGCACTTAAGCTTTAGAAAGAGTTTTAAAAATCTGAGGTGCCCAATACAAGGTGAGAGAAGCCACAGAGGTGCAGAGGCTGGCCACCTTGTCATGCCTGCTGGATGACATTCTGCTGAAGGAAAACAGTGATAGTAAGGAGATTAGTGGCTCCCAGGAGATGGGAACAGATCCCTCCCCTTCTAGTCCGTGGAACCCTAAGACCTGTTGTGACCAGTCATTAATGTGGTGATATTTTGTTTGCGCTTTAGCAAATAAAGCTTGCCTGAAGATCAAAGTGCAGAGCTAGCCACACCAGTTAGCTATAGGGGTCAGGGAGTGGTGGTGCAGGCCTTTAATCCCAGCACTAGGGAGGTGGAGACAGAAGTGATATGGCTGGGTGGAGAGAGGAATATAAGGGGAGAGGAGACAGGAGGAGCTCAGGATTCAGTCTGAGGTTTCCTAGAGATGGCATTCAGTCTGAGGACTTGTGGAGACAGGATGCCCCATCTGTTCCGAGGATTTTATGGGGGTCAGAACTCGTGGTTGGCTGCTCTGCTTCTCCGATCTTTCAGCTTTCACTCCTTAATATCTGACTCTGGGTTTTTAAAGACCAATTAGAAATTACATAACACGTTATTGCCCACTTTAATTTGGCAGTGCCCTTGACATTTCAGGTGACAAAGGTCGGAGGCGACCTTTCCCGAAGAAAGTGTTCTTTCATTTAAAATATAAGGCTTCATTACCCTTCTGAAGAAGCTGGGGAAGGTGGAAATGGAAGCTTTGAGAAAGCTGACTTGACATTTAAGACAGCAGAAGATGGAGGATGCTGTCCTTGCATATCGTGTCTCAACAATTAGATATCTTTGTCTGAAGTAACTCTCTTTGTCAGACTCTGAATAGATTTGGAATGAAGGTTTTTTTTTTTTTTTTTAAGATTTATTTATTTATTTATTTACTTTGTACACAATGTTCAGCCTCCATGTATGCCTGCAGGCCAGAAGAGGGCACCAGATCTCATTACAGATGGTTGTGAGCCACCATGTGGTTGCTCGGAATTGAACTCAGGACCTCCGGAAGAGCAGTCAATGCTCTTAACCTCTGAGCCATCTCTCCAGCCCCGAAGGTTTTTTTTTTTAAGTTGTACTTTCAATAATGTTAGTGTAAATAGGTTGAGATAAGTGATTGCTTTTCTCACATGGGCATCTTGTACTCTTGTATAGACGGTAAATGTGGATGTAGTTTTCGAATGATTTGTCTTTGGTAGAAGTGTATTTCCTCATTTCCCTCGTATGTCTTGTCTTTTTTTGTAGTGTTCTACAGGAACATGGGAGGCAGAATGTTGCTATGAGCTTTGTTCCCAGCTAGCATTCCAGAAAATGTCTGTGTGGGGGCCCAGCCTGGCACTGTTAGGGAATAGTGGGGTATTTAAGAGACTCGGTGGCAGGGTTTTAAGTCATTGGAGAATTCCCTTGAAGGAGGTAGAGAGAGTCTAGCCACTTCTTTTCTCTCTTGTTTCCTTGTCATGGATGATTGGTTTTACACTATTATAATGTGATATTTTGAGATAGTTTCCCATGATGTAGTTATTTCTCCATGGGCTGAAGCCTCTGAAACTGTGAACCAACAGAAACCGTTTGTCTTTGTAAGCTGATTTGTCTCAATCATTTATTAGAGTAATGGAATACCAGCTACCACATCAACCATAATTCTATAGTAAATAGGAATGGAAGAAGACATGATGCTAATAGCTTCTCTAAAACAAGAAAATGGAACTGTGAAAGATTAGGAAGAGAGCTACATCAGTAAGGGGTCAACAGGGCCATCATAGGAGAAGTAACGGCTGTAAAAGCTCTGGTGTTGGTAACAGCAGAATGAGGAGGTGGTAAGACAGGATGCATTCCAGGAAAATAAAGGAAGCTCAGAGCAAAAACAAGAAACATCCGATCGGCCTGGAGCCATTGGTAAGCAGAAAGGTACTCTTTAGAGCTGGTGCATATGCCAGTAAGTGGGAGAATTCTAGGAAATAATGAAGCTGATGAGGAAATGGCTTCCGACACAGGGCATTTGTGCTAAATCATTGAGCTTTACAGCCCAGTCACCCAAAATGTTTTTCTTTTCTTTTTTTTTTTTTAAATTCTGAACCGTTGAACAGCCTGTGTGCAGGAAGTAAGAATTAGATTTTTGAACTGGGTGTTAATGCGTGCCTTAATTTTCCAGCACTCTGGAGGTAGAGACAGGTGATTCTCTATGAGTTCAAAGCCTGCCTGGTCTACATAGCTAACTAGTTCCAGGACAGCCAGGCTATACAGAAAAACCCTGTCTTGGGACAGGAATTGAAATCCAGGCACTTGCACATGCCAGGTGAGCGCAGGCGGGCACAGGCGAGCACAGGTGTGCTCAGGTGGGCACAGATGAGCACAGGTGAGCGCAGGACCACTGAATAACACCTTTCCTACTTGACTATTAAAAGAAAGAATATTCTAGAATATTCAATATTCTAGTGAAATAGAGAAAATGTATTTTATCATGTATTGAATCTAAGACTTGCACACATTAGTGGAAGAAGAGAAGATTGGATGGAAAAATAAATGTTTGTGACCCCTGTAAGTATCTCATTCATAAAGAGGACCCTGGGACATCAGATTGTGAAATAGGTTAGTAGTCTTCATGCAGAATAGGATTTTCTAAATTAGTAAATGATTAAGTGCATCTTGACAGTGTTAGTTGAAATAAAAAAAAGGTTTTGCTAATTTAAAATAATTGTAGCCTGCCAGTTCCCAAATAACCAATCTGATGCTTAATATTAATTAAAAACTGACCTATTAGCTCAGACGTGTTATTAACTAGCTCTTATAACTTAAATGAAGCCATTTCTATTATTCTGTATTTTACCATGA